CTTTACAAAATATCAGATAATTTGACCATGTTGTCTTTTTGACAAGGCAAGGTTAGTTCAGGTTGTAAAATGTCAGATGGTGTGACACCTAAAAAAACTTTATGAATATTTTTTGACCCCTTTAAAAAATGTAGAATTTTTTTTTTTATTTGTAAATATATTTTGTTTGATTAAAAAAAAAGTACTTTAAAAGTACTATACTAAAAATATATATAAAAAAAATATTCAAGGTACAAGGAAAATGTGTTATTGAGTCATTTAGAGAATTGCCATCGATATATGCCACTGACCAAAAAAACTATCACCATTGACTTTGATAGATGTTCGATTTCAGAGCCCTGAATGAATCTCACTGAGCCCATGGAGCAAGTAAACATGACGTTTCTACTGTCCAGTGGCTCAATTTCTCTATTGATAGATATAACACTGACTTGAATTTCTGGGGAGCTGGTTTTGCATCATATCCTACCATCAAAATAAAGCTTCTGTGTTTTAGTGAGGTGTCAAAGTGAACAGGCTGCTTTTCATTACTGTGTACTTAAAAATTGTGTATGATTCACCGCACAGATTTATAACAGATTTTCTGTCAATGTAAAATGACAGTTTGTGTGTAGTGATATTTTACAGGAAATGTGTTGCAATCTCTTCTACTTCACGAGTAAAGTTAAATGATATGTGATGCTATTTAACCGGAAATGGTGCTGATTATCTGAGGAATCTGGACATGTTTAAAAACTGATTTTAGAAAATGATTATATTATATAGAAATGATATAAAGATTGAGATATACACTTCCGTTATTTTTCAAAGAAGTCTCTTATGCTCACCAAGGCTGCATTTATTTGATCAAAAATACAGTAAAAAACAGTTATATTGTGAAATATTATGTTAATTTAAAGTAACTTTTCTAATTTAATATATTTTAAAATGTTATTCTTGTGATGGCAAAGCTGAATTTTCAGCAGTCATTACTCCAGTCTTCAGTGTCCTTCAGAAAGTATTCTAATATGCTTTTTGCTGCTCAAGAAACTTTCTTATTATTATCAGTGTTGGAAACAGTTGTGCTGATTAATATTTTTGTGGAAACTAAACCATAATGCATTTTTCAAGATTCTGACAAATGGCAAGTTCAAAAGAACAGTAAAATTTTTTACTGTTATTTCTGATTCATTTAATGCATCCTTGCTGAATAAAAGTAATAATTTCTTCTTCAAAAAAAAATATCTTACTGACCCGAAACCTTTGTACAGTAATGTACAGCATGTCTGATACATATATATACATTATGTATAGACACATCTCTGTTTTGTCTCCTAGAACTCAATTCGACACAATTTGTCCCTCAATAAATGTTTCCGGAAAGTTCCTCGACCACAGAGCGATCCTGGGAAGGTGATGTAGCCAAATTATTTTATTATTTTGTTCATTAATATCTGAGGTTTATTCAGTTTAAATAGGAAAGATTATTATTGCCATGCTATTAACTTTTTTAACTGTTTTAACACTCTCAAATCCACTCTTTTGCTTACTAATACTGAAGCTAAAATAATCACCTGTTTTAGGGGTCATACTGGACGATGGATGTACCACCTGACTCAACTCAACCCAGAGGAGTCAAACGTCCTTATCCTAAAGAGGAGGATGTAAGGGTATGTCACATGAAACATTGTCATCACATCTGTGAGATCAGTATTTCACTCACCAACATCCCTCTTTCAGGCTCCTTCCTCCGAGGCCCAAGTGCCTGTCAGTCAAGCAGAGCTCCTCCCACCTCAGCCAGACACCAAAAGCATGTTCTCTCCCTCTCCTTGCAAGGTTCAAAGTCATTTCTTCTGCTTTTCTATTTCTATTAAGGATTAAGATCCTCTTATAGCAGAGCTTGAGGTCTAAGAATGAGGAAATGAGAGTGTGAGGTAAACAAAAGAGAGCTAGTGACTGGTAGACTTCAGAATTACTTTCATTTATAGGGAATTTGAATGCATGCATCTTCTTAGAGAAATCAAGTTCAAATAAACTGAAAATAAGGTCATTATTTTCTCACAATCATGTTGTTTTAAACCTGTATGGTATTATTTTTAGCCATGGAATACAAAGAAGACAGTTGTACCAGAGTGACCATGTCTGTCAAACTTTAAAAAGTGCTAAAAGCATCATAAAAGTAGTCCATATGATTTGTGTGTTATATTACAAATTTTCCGAAGTCCTGCTTAAAGTCGAGATGAAATGAAAGTAGCAACCAATATTTTCTTCCATATTGTGATGTACATCTGTAACAAAATATCGAAAATACTATGTTGAGTGGGGACTCTGTCCATTGGTTGTTGATTGGATTTAGTGATGTTGGTGTTGCACTCGTAAATTAATGTAAGTTTGCAATCGATTGTGCAGGGGTGAGGTTTAAAAGTGAACACAATAATGTGTGTCACAGAGAGAAAGAAGCCTGTCATTTTTACTGAAAGATGACATGGATGAATTGTTCACAGTAAGATCCAGACCATGCATTTACAAAACAGATGCCAGCTTACAGTCGTATGATCTACAAAAGTGGTGCTTCGATGCCATTATTGTCTTTGGTTCTCACATATAACGTAACCAAATGACATTGACATCAAACAGAGGTGCCATTTTCTAAAGGTGTCAACTTAGGAGATATTGCCAGTTTATTGACAGCTTGCACCAGCACAAACCCTCTTTTGGCATTAAAAAATTACTGTCAAGATTTACTAAAGACACGCAGTGAAAAATGAGCAATTAAAAGATGTGGACAGTTACTTTTTCAGCTGACCTTATGCTTTTGTAGGAGCTTCCCTTTCACTCGCCCACAAAAACATGTCTTAACCCATTTTGCGCTGGACATGACTGTGATAGTTGTTAATTTGCCCTGCTTTTAATATGAGATTGTGTTGGTCATTATGCAAATGCACTGGCTGCATCTGTGTTCTTTAATTTTCGCATTGTCAGCAGAACGTTCCACTCCAATCTGTGCTTTTATGGCATTGCAGTCTCACATGAATTGGTCCTGTTTAGTAAATCTGGCCCCTAGTGCGGACTGAAAAAGACTTTGTTGGAACTTAAACCCCTATGAATTGTTGTTGTGGAAAAGAGCTGCTTGAATGCTCAATTCTATTCATGTTGTATTTGCTTCTTTACAATACACAATACAATCAATGAAAGAAAATGATGTTGGAAGAAAATAAATTGGCGTTTGGGTGTGAGGATGAGTAAATCAATTTCATTTTTCATTCATTTTTGGCTGAACTATTCTTTTAAGTTGTATATAACATATTGTTTATCCAAATAACTCTCAAATTAATCTCTGCAAACATTGTTTCCGCAGCAGCGTCCAAGCATCCCAATAGCTACATCTTTTCCTTCAAACCCTCATGCTGATCCCCCTCTCCGATTCTCCTTTGCTGATTTGAACCTACCAGATCTGTACAATTCCTTCCAGTCCCTCTGTCGCTCTGTGAGACAGAGAGTCACCTCACAATGTAAGTAAATCGATTGTGCAACTCTTTTCCTTTAGCTTATCATTTACTTCAGAATCAATTTTGATTCAGAATCAAGTCGGTATAAGATGTGACAGTGTAGGTGAGCTTAATGATTCAGAATCTCTCTCTCACTCTCTCTCATAGCGGATGTTGCCAATTTACTTGGACTTACCCATGACAGTACACCGCTCCACACGCCAACCCTGCCTCCTCTCTCCCCCTGCCCCTGTCCCTGTCCAAACCTTAATATTAACCAATATACCATCACCCCTGCTCTTAACCCAAACCTGAATACCAATGGCAACTTCAACCCAAATACACCCAATACTAACTTTAGTTTTATCCACAACCTAAACCCAAGCCAGAACTCTAACATTCATCCAAACTCCAACACTGAGCCTGACAAGCTGCTACACGGTAATGGTGAGTGTAACTGCTCAGTAGTGAGGTGTTGATGGGATGAGAGTGTCCTGATGACCCGATCCTCTCATTCTCTCTCTGTTTCAGTTGTTCCTGCAGATTGGTTCAGTAACGCTGACTCTTTGAGAGAGAGTTTCAGAATTGCTAGCAGTCTGGACTGGGCTAACATTGATCTCACCAGTCACCCTGGTCAGTACTCAACCATACACTGAGATCTATAATGCACAACATGCTTTCACTTTCCACTCTGGATTTACAGTTTAGTTTCAATGTGACCATTTTGGAATTTGTTCATCCAGAAGCACTATTTTGCACTGATGGGAAGCTATTTTGAAACTGTAACTTGGCAAGATGCAATCTTCTTATAATTTAAAGTAGTTAAAAACTACTACATTTGGTAGAAAATTGCTAGACTACATGCAACAAAAAAAAAACATACAGTAGCTAACTTCTGAAACCATTAAATGTCTTTTTTAAATACATAATTATAAGGATGTATGATTAATTAACTTATATTATTAATACTCATGCATTTACACTAAACACTGAACTATTAAAACAACACTTTAATTTATCTACAGGGTTCGCACTGTCCTGGAAAACCTCTATTATATATTATATATAAATTAAAATGTATTAAGCAAACAAAATTGCCATCACAGGCAAATAAATTATATTTTAAAATATATTAAATTACAAAACAGTTATTTTAATTTGTAATAATATTTCACAATAATACAGTTTTTACAGTATTTTTGATCAAATAAATTCAGCCTTGGTGAGTGTTGGTGACTGTTGTTCCTGAACTTTTAAATTTAAGTTGTAGTCTTAAAAAAATAAAAATAAAAAAAATAAATATATATATATATATACTATACTTATAACTTTTTTTTTAGTTCCAAGACCTCTAGTGTAAGGACCTCTAGTTAGGTTAGTTGTAGTGTAGACCTCTAGTGTAGGTTAGTTACACTGGCTACCAGTTATATTTAGGATTGATTTTAAAATACTTTTACTCGTTTATAAATCACTCAATGGCCTAGGACCTAAATACATAGTAGATATGTTCACTGATTATAAACCTAACAGACCACTCAGATCATTAGGATCGAGTCAGTTAGAAATACCAAGGGTTCACACAAAACAAGGGGAATCCGCTTTTAGCTATTTTGCCGCCCGCAGTTGGAACCAGCTTCCAGAAGAGATCAGATGTGCTAAAACATTAGTCACATTTAAATCTAGACTCAAAACTCATCTGTTTAGCTGTGCATTTATTGAATGAGCACTGTGCGATGTCCGAACTGATTGCACTGTATTTTATGTATTGCACTGTATTTTATGCAATCCGAAATGATTGCAATGTATTTTATGTATAATCATTTTCTATTTTTAACTGTCTTAAATTCATTTTAAATAATTTTAAAAGTTTTTAAATTCCTTGTTTTATTGTTGTGATTATTTTTTTCTTTTCTTTTATGTAAAGCACTTTGAATTACCATTGTGTATGAAATGTGCTATATAAATAAACTTGCCTTGCCTTGCCTAGTTATGATCAGTTAGTGTTTTTAAAATATTTCTTTGGCTAGATATTAGTTTTTCCTTTAAATATAATTTTCAAAAAATCCTTATTCTGTAATCACAAACGACTAGAAAAAGGCCTTGGAAATTCATTGGTCATTAAGTGTGGGAACCCTACAGTATATGTAACTGAATCGAAGAAAATAAAAAAATAAAACACTTTTTACCTAAATATTCATTTAGCTGAAAAAAGGATAATGGTTGCATTTTCTGAACCAGCTTATTAATATGAACCATCTAAATGAATGGACTTCATCCATGAATGAACCATCTAAACGAATGGCAAAAATTCTGTGTGTAATGTTGCTTAAAGGTTTGTTAATTTATGAATGCATCCAAATACTACAAAACTGCTGTACATCACTGTAGGGGAGATTTATCAAGTGTCTCTATCTGTGTTGTTCTCATGCAGACCTGGTAGAGAGCATGCGTCAGGCCGAGCTCTGTGACTGGGCGTTGGATTCGACGCTCTTCACCTCGCTGTGTGATTCACTCAACCGATTCTTCACTCAGAAGGGTCTCATTAATTCATCTTCTGGTGGTCCCTCCTCTTTTGGACAAATGGCCCCACCTCCTATCAATATGCCGACCACTAACCTTCCCAGCCTGGCTAGTTTAACTCAACCATCTCCACTCATCTACTCCTCCCAACTCCCTCCTGGTACTGGTGAACCTCCCATCCAAAGTACCAGGAGAACCCTGACCCCTCACACCCAGAACCGGACAGCACAGAGATCCCCGGGGCTGCAGCCCACCACGAGCCAGCCACTGACTCCTAACGGTATGTCGACAGCCCCCTTAAATCCTTACAGGTCCACTGTGCATCTAAACTTAAAGGGATAGTTCACCCAAAAATGAAAGTTCTGTCATGTGATTACCCGCCCTAATGTAGTTTCAAACCATTCCATGACTTGCTTTCTGCTGTGGAACATAAAGAAGATGTTTTGGAGAAAGTTTGAACTGTTTTTACCCACACAATGAAAGTCAATCAGGTCTAAATGCTGTTTTGGACCCTATTGACTTTCATTGTATAGACAAAAAATACAGAGACATTTTTCAAAGTATATTCTGTAATGTTCTGCAGAAGAAAGATAATGATATTGGTTTGAAATGCCATGAGGGTGAGTAAATGATGATAGATTTTTCATTTTGTGTATGATCTATTTAAGTGCCCCTATTGTCACTCAGAAAGGAAATGAGTGTCGCCATATTGGTCGAATTGCTCAAGCATCCTAATATGATGTCATTATGTCTTTATGCAGCACTTCAAACTCAACCACTGACCCCAACAGGACGTCCACACTTCAAGAAAGGCAACAGTGAGGAAATCCAGGATGATTTTGATTGGGATTCATTGATTGAATAATTTAGTTTGCCGATATACATATAAATACACAGTTAAGAAAACATGAGCTAATTATTGAGGCATGATTCTGTCAAAAAGGAGGTGAGGCTAACCCATTCATCCTGTTTCATTTGTATGTGGAACAAAAGCAGCACCATTGTAACAATGATCATCATTCAGCTGTTTGTTTCCTTTCAGTTCACTTCTGCCTTATGATAGATACAGCACAATGGTGCTGCTATAGTCAACTGTATGTTGAAGTGCTGGAGACAAATGATAACCAGCACCAAATTGTCAGGTTAACCAAAACGTACAATGCAAAATATTTATCAGGTTTTTTTCCTGAACCGCTCCAGACCTTGAACGTTGGGGTGGATCAATGCACACCAGGCTGCCTTTTACGTCAGCGTATTACAATGTAAATAACGTTAGCATTTCCAAAGCTTTAGCCAGTTGACAATGGCTCGGTTTTTGATGAATGTTGATACAGGCTTTTTTGACACTTTAGTCAGTTCAATAGTTATTGAAAGAACTTCTGACCAAAGAAATTATCTTAAATTGCATGTACACTAACAATTTGTGGTCGAATAAATGCAGTTATATTATGACAATACATACAGTATGGGTGTATTTTGACTGAAACCAATTATGACATTTATTGCTTTATATTATTACACTTTGTCACATGGCAAATCCCCTTGGGGAGCTAATGTCGGTCTCCAATTAAACAAAAAATAATAAAAGGAAATGTCTAATGTCTATCATTTTAATTGCCATTTAAAAGCAAACCAATGTAACAAAAAAAGCTTGGACAATTTTTTGTGTGGAATTATTTAATTTTTATTTTAAATTTCTTTGATTTTTTTTTTTCTCCATTTTATTTTTTAATGTGAATGTTCAGTCAACACCACACAATTTTTGACCATAGCCAATATTAGAGAAAAATCTCTAAAATTTTCATATATAAAATAATTCATTCAAAGTAAATAAAGATTAACAGCATGGATCATGTCATTCTGTCCCCAATTTTATATGATTTCACATACGATCACTCAGATAATTCTTTTTCAGTTTCAGAAGCGCTGACACTTTCCCATTTTCTGTGTAAATGTTCAAGGAAAAAAGGTGCTGAAGTGAAATGTAAAGACAAGCTCTGATTCTCATGTGAACAGGTGTCGAATTAATGCTTTGATTCTTACGACTGCAAAAATAAATGTTTGAAAAGAAGGACCTTTATAACAAGTTAAGAGTGCTGAAAGTGAGACTATGCTGATGAATCCCCATCAGAAGCACAGCAGAGGACCGAGTGAAAACAATGCACACATCATACACGCTCTCTCATATACGCGCGAGCGCACACACACACACACAGCATCTCTTCATGTGTACCACGTGACGTAGACTTGAAATTTCGCAGGTGGTCAAAGGAGACCAAGCAGGCATCTGTTTCAATGGCAATTTCCAGTGCGATTTTCCTTGGTTTAATCAATCCCAGGAGTCAGAGACATACGATTAAAATAAATTACAAGATTACACATTAAATTAAAAGTAATACATCTATTGAATGATTTTTACTAGAGCTGTGAATAAAACACAGCTGAATTTTTCTGTCTGTTCAGGGCAAGCCCGTCACAGTCATCCTTCATGCACTCTTTCATCAGAGGGTCATCAATGAAAGGGGGAGAAAGGGGTGTATGATTGAGTTCATTAGTGGCTTGTTTTCCTCCTCCCTTATCTTCATGTTTCTGAACAATAACAATCATCCTAATAATATAACAATATTAACAGCCTGCATTCATTGAATGAACCCACCAATCATCCATGTCTATCAAAGAAAAAATTTAACTAATAGGGAAATAAATAGACTTCAAATACTGTGTAAAATAAAATGAAAAGTTTTTTTTTTTTTTGAAATGCTGTTTTGTGAAAGAAAATAAAATTTTTGTTTTTACCTTTTCATTAAATATAGAGATGTACACACATTTCTTTTTTTTGTCACACACAAACTGTTTGTGTTGGTAGGGCAGGTTTGGATTGGTTGTTGAGTGGACAGGGCACACGGGATTTGTGAAATCTCTCAAAGAAGGAAAGGATTGGTGCTTGCGCCTGTGGTTCCACCTCCCATGGATCCTCCTGTTCCCATTACTCCACCCACCCCCGACGGCCCGCCCAAAATCAGTGCAGGCTGCGCAGGGCCTCCGGGGCCCATTAGCAAGGGATTTCCTGCAGGACCCATGGGGGATATTCCACCAAAAGGCATGCCCATTGGGCTGGATTGTACCATTCCCATGCCCATACCAGGGACCACCATAGGGACCCCCATTCCTGGCATGCCCATCCCCGGCTGAACCATTCCCACTGCTGGTGGAGGCATGTGACCCAGCATAGGATTCTGGGGAATGGGGCTCGTGCGGAGCTGGCTTAGACTGAGCGAAGAAGGTTGAGGGGAGATGGATGCCATCGGGGTCGCGCCAAAAGGATTAGAAGCAGAAGGCGGGGTCGGAGACACCCCTCTACTGGAAATGGTACTGCCTGGAGTAACTCCCATACCTGTTGAGGAGGGACCTAAATTAAAAGGAGAAAACTAATGTTAGAGGGTTAAACAAAACATAATTCCTCTCTAAATGTGGTCTATTTTAAATTTACACCTTGCGTCTGTAGGAAGGGGTTGTGAGATGTGGAGGAGATGCTTGGCGGTGGTGCTTGTTTAGGTTTGGGTTTTGATGATACTAGCGAGTCCAAATCCACGAGTGCAGCATTGGGACCCAAGAATGACTCTGGTGTTTTTCGAACAGGCAAGGAGGAACTGAGCGATGAAAGATCAAAGGGCACCGGAGAGCCTGTGCTGCCTCCACCTCCAGTATCACCTCCTGTCACTGAGGAGCCTCTTCTCTCTGGATCTGCTGTGAATGGAAAAAGAACGAGGCAAAAAGAATTACATGTAAATGGTTTAACAATACAATCTATGACTAACAAAAAAAAACAGGATTGCTGTCCAACTGATCCTTTGCTAAGCCCCGCCTTAAACACATTACTGACAAATACTACCAAGCATTTATTTATTTTATTTAGGGATGCACCATACATGCTATCAACCAATATCTGCAATCTACTCTCCATTGGAAATGAATGACTTCTGGACTGTTGTTTCTCAGAGATAGTGAAAATGTACAGTTCATTAAAAAAAGATTTTCCCCAAGAAAAAGCAGATAAAACACTTCAACATTGCAGTTCCTTCCAGCCCACATAACAATATTATCCATTTTATTTCTGGAAACCTCCAGATCATCCTGTGAAACCTTCCATAATGCCTGTGTAAACGAACAAGAGTAGCCAAGGGGGCAGGGCTTAGCAAAGAGTCAATACACCAGTATAAAGTACAAAACCTCTTCAGCTGCAGTGTGGGCAGCATAGAGTAAAAATGTGTGAGAATTACCAGCAAACACACTGTTGTGTCTAAGGCAATGTACAGGGGTTTGGTCCTCACACGGCACATGGTGTGACCCATCAAATATAACTACAAAAAAATTAATTAATAATATTGATAATATTATTGCACTTTATTTAGTTTTTTTTTTTAATAAAATAATAAACTAAATAATAAAGTGTGATAATAGTATTTTATTTAAAAATAAAAAGGGAGTATTAAATACAAATACAATTATTTTATAGTAAACTTAAAAATAAAATGCTAATATTTTATTATTATTATTATTTTAATTTGAACCTTAATTATTATTTTTAATTTGAATTATTTGAATTTTTCATTTTCAAACTTAAAATCAGCAAGCTTCTATTTTGGCGGGTTGCCGGCAAGTAAGTATATGCGCTTCCGATTGTAGAGCGTCAGTGAATGAAATGTAACAGTTTTGCATTGTGCTTTGAAAACGTTAGCGGGTAGCCTAGATTTATGCTTTCAGTTTGAATAGAAATTAGGGCTGCACGATAAATCGCATGTTAAATATCGCATGCGATTTATCGTGCAGCCCTAATAGAAATCTTATACAGTAGTTTGTCGATCTAAAATGGTAACTGTGCATGTCAACCATGTCGGTACGCAAATGCATGCTCTGAACTAATTTACACAGCGCATTTCTTATTTTGGTCGCGCATGCGGACCTGCGGACCACTTATGTGCACCCCTGGCAATGTAATTTATCTTTGGACAAGTCAGGGGTGTCCAATCCTGCTCCTGGAGGGTCACTGTTCTGCAGAGTTTAGCTCCAGCCTCCATTTAAACACACCTGAACCAAGGTAATCAAAGTCTTCAGCATTACTAGAAACTTCCAAGCAGGTATGTTCAGACTAGTTGGAGCCAAGCAGTGCAGGACATTGTCCCTGCCAGACCAGGATTGGACACCCCTATGATAAGTGCATCTATGCATTTACATGCGCAAGTATACCTGTGCCGTTAGTTTGTTTAAATGAACCACTCCAGGGGTCAGAGATCAGACCATCAGTGGCAGGGGCAGCTCCTTCCGCTGCCCAGGGATCGGTTGACCCTGAGAGCGGGGTAGGGGCCGGAGCCACTGAGGGAGCCCAAGGGTCGGCACTTGGAGGGGTCACAGCTGGAGGGGATACAAGGAAAGGTCAAGGATCAGAGGACACCACGAATAAAGAGGAAAAGCCAGGGTAAAGACACAGAGGACACTGGGAGGACACATCCTTGACACTCTCACCTGTGGACGCCCAGGGGTCAGAGTTCACTCTAGAGGACGAGTCGCCCCATGGGTCCGGGGCTACTGTTGCCGGTGCTCCTCCCCAGGGGTCAGCACTCTGGGGAGAGGCGGGGGAGGCGGCTCCCCACGGGTCAGCGGGGCCCCATGGCCCAGCGGTAGACGCAGGAGCCAAAGCGGGAGGAGGAGAGGGTCCTGCGGAGCCCGTCGCAGGAGCCCCCCATGGATCTACGGCACTCAACTCCATCAGAGACGACTGAGAGAGAGACACGTCAATAAGAACGTCCTCATCGGAAAGGAGCGCGCGAGAAAGCAAAAGTGTGAGAGGGAAACTTGTATGTACAGAGAGGACAGACACTTACACTTGCAAGTGGTTCAATAATAGCTAGTGTGGCGAAATGGTTAAGGAGGAGGAAACTCTAGAGGAAGTGAAACAAGCTCACACACATCGTTGTGCTAAAGCGCGTACGCAGGGTGAGAGACACAGACAGAGCAGGTAACTCTTGGAGAGTGAGAGGCAGGTACACAAACACGCAACCCTCGGTAACACAACACGCTACCATGTGTACACCTCACGCTCTCGTCCTATAAGAACAGCTCGTCAAGCATGATCTCTTGCTGACACAATCGCACACAATCACACACCTCCTCGGGCTTGGATTTCTCCCTCTTACTCTCCTCGATGGCCATCTGCAGCCTCAGGTCGTCTCCCCTGCGCAGACGCTCCTCCTGCCAATCACACACCACCGTCACATCATCACAGTGAACCAAGTTCTGTGGGCTGATGGGAAATGGAGTCTAATGAACTGTGGCAACCTGACTCCCATGTCTCACCAGCTTCAGAGTTGTGCTTCACGGCTTGAGTTAGACAAAAATCAACAACATTTGGAAGTAGAGGGCAGTTCATCTACTCTGATTTTGCATTGATAAGCTCTGGTGGAATTACAAAGAATGAACGATTACTGAGAATTATAGGTACTTTTGAAATTACTCATTGGTTTCATCATGCAAAAGTCAACAATTTGTTCAGAAGAATTCAAACAGCGGAAATGATTAACAAGAGGTAAGCTCAACACAAAAGAACAATGGAAATTTTTAACCTTTTTAAAAGCACTTACTAGATATTTCTTAGATATTTCAATAGCTCCATGATCAAACTGATGTATGTATTATTTCAGGCTGATCTGTGATTTGAGAGGGAAGAGGATAGCAAAGGAAGGGTTCATCCACTGTGACCTGGATGAATTTTTGCTCCCTGACCTTTTGGTGAGTCTCCTGGCTGACTGTGAGTGCGTAGCGGAGCTCTGCATCTTCCAGAGGGTCTTTGCTAGTCTGAAGGAGGGGGGCAGGGTGAGGACAGTTGTGAGTGAAGGAGTGAGAGGGGAAATGTGCAGAAACTGTGCAGAGGCTCTAATGTTTAATGTGCTTTATTGTACTTTATTAGAGAAACAGCCCATATTTCTATTTTATGATGGCAGTTAGGGAAGAAGGCAGATTAAGGGAGCTTTAAAGATGGTTATTATTAGTAGAGCTCAACAGTAAGGATGGCCCGGGGCCAGTGGGAGGGAGTTGAGCCAGTTGACAGAACCGTCACTTGACCCACTGGGGCAGTGCTATATCTTAAATTTTTTGTACACACCTTTTTATAATTTGTAAACATCTTGTATTATTATTATTATTATTATTATTATTATACAATTATTACTACTATAATTTATTATGAAAAAATTTTATTGCAATAGATAATAATAATGTAATTAAAAAATTACAAAAAAAGTTACATTAAAAGTGTAAAAATTGTGAGTGTAAACATAAAAAATTAATTGAAATTCCAATAAAAATGATAAAATATATGCTATAAATTATAATTTTTTATAAAAATCTAAAATTGTGTTGGGTGCCACTTAAATATTGCCCGGCCAATCTTAGCTACTGGTCCGACCCAGCAAGCAGGAAAAAAAAAACTCACTGTTGAGCTCTGATTGGGAAGCCACAGTTATTATATTATTATATACATGTAAGTACTAGGGGTGGGACAAAATATCAATATGGCAATATATCATTATCTTTGTCCGTGCGATACGAGAATCGATAGTCTGGCGCAAATTATCAATATTTTAATTAATAAAATAAGGCTCTCTATATAGATTTCCTTTCTCCCAGCGCTGCTACTTCATGGCTCCTCGAGTTGGCGCTCAATACATGAATGAGGGAAATGTGAACATAAGTTAACTAGCCTAAGAAAAAGAGGTTTTTAATGGGATGGCGAACAGCAGTGTGAGTAAATTAATAGATGCCCCAGCCACGTTTAAGTCCAAAGTCTGGACCCACCTCGGCTTTATAATACCATTGATGGGACAAACAAAATTGACAAAGCATGCGATATGCAAGAACTGCATTATTTGCATGTAATTATTTACTCTCTCATGTTGTCCCAAACCTGTATTAATTTCTTTCTTGTGCTGAACACAAAAGAAGATATTTTGGGTAACCAAACAGTTGCTGGTCCCCATTAACTTTGATAGAAGGAAAAAAAAATACTATGGAAGTCACTGGGGACCAGCAACTGCTCTGTTAGCCACATTCTATAGAAAGAAACTTATTCAGGTTTAAAACAACTTGAGAGTGAGTAAATGACAGAATTGTAATTTTTGCACAAATTTTGAAGAATTTTCAGCAGTTTGGATTTGAATGAATAGAGAGAACCTGCACCTTTTCACAGGCATTTTGTTTTCATAGACAGATATCATGATGTATCATTATAGGATTGTCTAGAAATATATCGATTATCGCAGAATTGCTGTATCATGATATTATCGGTATCGTGAGCCATGTATCGTGTAACGTATCATATCGTGAGGTAACCTGTGATTCCCACCCCTAGTAAGTACAAGTTGTAACTCACTGGCATGTTCTAAAATCAATAATGGTATGCAAAAATATATTTCAAAAGTCACACAGTCCATTAGAGCAATTAATTACAAGACTATCTGGACTACTTGATTTGAATAGAATACATTTTGCTGTCAAAAATGTTTATATAATGGCCACTAAAGTATATAATTGACCACTGTCCCAGGCAAACAATTTCCTGAGCTACCTTCTTTCTTTACATGTCAATTTGTTTATTAATTTCCATGTAATAAGCAGGATAACATACAGTCAATTGTTCATTATCACAAAATGAAAGGGTTAGTTCACCCAAAAATGAAAATTAATTACTCACCCTCATGTCGTTCCACACCCCTAAGACCTTTGTTCATCTTCAGAACACAAATTAAGATATTTTTGATCAAATCCGATGGCTCAGACAGGCCTCCATTGACAGCAACGCCACTCAAAGTTTCAAGATCCATAAAGGTACTAAAGAAGTCGTTAAAACAGTCGACGTGACTACAGTGGTTCTACAATAATTTTATGAAGCGACGAGAATACTTTTTGTGCGCAAAAACAAAACAAAAATAACTTTATTCAGCAATCTCTTCTCTTCCCTGTCATTATCCTTACGCGGTTAACGCAGTAAGCACAGTGAAGGCTTCCGTGTTCTACGTCCGAACGCCGGCTCATTATTGGCCAAAGCTGTACATGTGAGCAGCTCGACGCATGCGTGTGATGCTGATGCAGGAGCCGTCCAATAATGAGCCAGCATTCTGACGTAGAACCTGGAAGCGCTGGACGTAAACAACGTATGAGAATGACACAGAAGAGAAGAGGTTGTTGAATAAAGTCGTTTTTTTTGTTAAAAGTATTTTCGTCGCTTCATAAAATTATTTTAGAACCACTGTAGTCACGTCGACTGTTTTAACGACGTCTTTAGTACCTTTATGGATCTTGAGAGTTTGGGTGGCGTTGCTGTCAATGGAGGCCTCTCTGAGCCATCGGACTTGATAAAAAATATCTTAATTTGTGTTCTGAAGATGAACGAAGGTCTTAGGGGTGTGGAACGACATGAGGGTGTGTAATTAATGACAGAATTTTCATTTTTGGGTGAACTAACCCTTGAAGACCTGATCACCATGTCAGGATTTATTCTGCACTAATGACCAGCTGACTGCACATTATCCCTTGCGTATAGTTCTGCTAAAATCCAATTTCACATTAAGCATGCCTACACAGCTCTTTCCATTCCTGGTAGAACAACTATTCATCTTCCTGTCTCTGAACCACCTCAGTACTACATTTTACCTGCAGCCTGAAAACCTGATCGCTGAGATTTTACCTGCTCCGCCTCCTCCTTGCTCATGGCCAGTGCCAGCTGGAGCTGCAGGTCCTCCTCTCCAGAGCTCTGGGGCCACGCCTGCTCAGCGTCTGCTCCCGAGTGCAGTCCTCCCCCTAAAGCAGGAGCAGAAGGGGCCGAAGATGCTAAGGGAGGAGTCAAATGACAGCCATTATGATGCATTAATAGATGGTGGAGTATCGGTCCCTAAAAGTGCATCCAGAGCAAAATGTTTGCCAACCTTCAGACTCGGCCAAAGCATTCTTATAAGGGTGCTGACAAACATCTGAGTGTCCGCCCTGACTCCTTCATAAGCCCCTCCTACTGCAAAGCACTTCTAGTTCTTACCACTGCTGGTCTGTGCCATCTTCTCTTTGGTCTTGAGTGCATGGATCCTCTCCTCTCGTAGCCTCTCCTCATCTTTTAGCAAAGTCACCAGCTGCTTGGCCTTTTCCCGTACATTCACACCCTGAAACATACACATAAAATGTAACGCTACATTCATTATCTATGAACTTATTTTGTTTTGTACAAAGCATATGTGCAATTCTAATATGTTAGATTAGGAGTCTAATATGTCCAGCATCGGAATGAATAAGTAAAAATTAAATAAATAAATAAAAAAAAGAATAATTAAATTAAATAAGTTGTTAAGTTTGAGGTAGTGCATGCGAAAATAATGGGGTGACTAAAATAAAATAAAACCTAGAGGGTTGAAGATTGGGCTGATGTTTTTGTGGTTTAAATGTGAGTGGGAGAAAGACCTTGGTTTAAAGTCAGGGCGTTTGAATTGACTGCACATAGAGACCTTGAGTGAGAGACTGCTGTAGTGTGTGAATCACATATGAGAACAGTTACTAACATGTTGAAGGACACTTCAAAACTAACACTGAGAGCTCTCCTTTTATTTCCTTAATGAAAGAGAGATAACACATTTTATTTGCGTGTGTGTATAAATATAACTTCCTGTTTGTGTGTACCTGGTCCTTGCCATCTCTGTCAATGTACTGGAAATCTTTGAGCGTCTGAACGGCGTAGATGTTTTCCCTGCATTGCTGTGCCACTCTCTCTGAACCCGTCTTTATCAGATACTCCATAAGAGTCATAGCCTGAGAAAAAGCGAGAGTATAAAATACAATCAGATTGTTTTTATAGCCCCATATACCAAATCTAACACTAGAAAGGGTAAAACCATTAAACTTACTTTATATACATGTCTCCAGTTCTTCCCATGGTCGTTGAGTCTCTTCCAGACCATGCTCATAATCTCTGAGAAGGCCACAACATTGTATGTCAGGTCAGCAATCTCTGACATCAGAGAGCTAGAGGGACCCCATGGGTCATTAGAGGTTGCTTCCCTAACCTGGAGAAAACACAAAATAAAGTTCAATGAACTTTACTTAAAGTGTCTGTTAATGCTTACAGAACACAGTGCAGTACACATTGTATGATGCCTACTATTTTTTAAGTATGTGAAACCATATACTGTGTGCAACTAGAAATATTTTAAACAGAATTATGCTACATGACCGCATAACATTGCATGTTTATTCAGCTAGTGCTGTCAAGTAAAAAATATATATATTTTTTAAATAATTATAAATGAAAAAAAAACTAAACAAAACAAAAACATTTAAAAAGATAAACAACAGGTTAAGAATTGCCACTGCACTGTATATACCACTTAAGTGCCCAGTTCTACAAAATAGATTGAAGTTGTTATGGCTTCCGGGTAATTTATAACACTAAAAATTGAAGATCAGCACATTGCATTATGGTATACCGTATCTCACGCAGTATGCTCCGTTATATACTGCATGTTTCAGAGAATACAGTAGATTATCTTTATAATACAGGCAAATAAAAAGTTAGCGAACTGTGCAAATATACCGAACTACTACACTACAGAAAAAGTATGGACTAAAGTATTACAGTAGTATGCTATTCCAAACATAACCTTATTTCGCTGACCAACGTTGTGACACTCTTTTACTCTTTAGTCAAGAAATCTCTGCAAAAAAACATGACGAGATTTCTTAAGATTTTGTGTTCAGCATTTTTGGTCACCAGTTTTTTAGCCTAAACTGAAATAACTGATAAAAACAAATGAATGAATTCCTGCCTCTTTTGTATGACTGCTTACAGTTTCATTCAGTCAAAAAAATGAAGGGCAGAAGTACAAAACATTTATCAGGAACTAAAAGACTTGCATAAGAAGACAGTTTCAAGGCCAAGCTGGAGAAGAGTGTGAAAAAAAAAAAAGAGAGAGAATGAATGCTGGGTTACAAAGGTAAAAGTCTAACCTTTATCTCTGCCTCTGAGTAATTGTGAACAATGTTCTTCACTTGTCGCCGCAGAGATGATGTCGACATGGCAACAGGCTGGCTATCAGGTTCTGCAAAATCTGGGACCTTGTAAAGCAATGTCAATAAAACATTAATATGGACAGATACAAAGGCAAATAAAGCCGTCACATTTTTCAAAAGGGAGTGTATCAGCTCTGAAACAAACTTTCATATCTAAGAATGACCAGGAGGTACCAGCAGGACATTTATCAAAACACAAAAAGGAAATGCTTTGGCTGCTATTCAAATGCTATCCATCTCTCCATCGATTAAAAAAAAAGAACCAATCTAACATAACCATGGAAGCGCAGCCCCAGGAATTCCCCAACCTAAAAGCCCTGTAAACACAAGAGCATCTGATGACGTGTGAGTCTGGCTCCAGGAAGCGTCTGTGAAGTGTACTATACCTGGGAGTGTCAGTCTCTCTCCCCCCCTCTCGGTCTCTCTTTGTGTGTGTGCTCAGGTCGGGGTCTCTGAGTGCTTAGCCTGTCCACTGTTCCAAACCTCTGCACGGCGGCCACATGAGGGCCCAGAAGCACAGATGTGGGGTGAATTATCTACGAGAAGAACAGAGATTTAGACGGGAGGTACAACATACAGGGAGGAAAGCTGGTGCAGCACTGTGTTGGCTTAAAAACACAATAGACATTCAATTCCACTCTTTGACAATCGAGAAAATGCAGTAATAGCGGACCGTGCCTGAGGGCACTGTACATTGCTCATTTGTAATATCAGCTGGGTGTAGGGCTAGAGAAACTACAACAAAGCTGAAGCTCAACACCTGCTGTGATGTACAAAACATAACATCTATAACTTCAATCAACATCAAATCACACAGACACGTTAACCCTATAAAGCCTACTATCATATTTGATACATAGATTTCTAAGGCCGCTAAATTAACAGTATGATCAAAACTTTGCTGAAAAAGTTGTTGAACAAATGACTACATGGCTTCTGATTGATAATTCTTATTTTTTTTAGTAAGAAAAAAAGCCTTTTAGCATCGCAGTAAAAATGCCCACCTTCATGTCGTGGTACTTTTTACCGTGAAATCTTTAATGATTTTTTTTTATCAAGTAAACATAATAACAGTTATACCATAAATAGTTCAAGATGAACATTTACTGAATGGAAGTCATTTAGGTATATTTGATTTCCCATACATCAATTATGTATCAAATATAAAATAGAATTTTAAGGACCATTTTTCTCTCAATTATCACAGTACTTTATGTTGTTTGTACATTAATTTGAAGATTGAATGTGAAATTATAAAAAATAAAAATTTTCCCTGACTATTATTTCATGTCACGCTTTACATGGTTAACATTAAATTAAACACATTGTATAGCACAGGAATAATGGAGTTACTAGAATGACCTATTCATAATAATAAACTAATACACTACATTAGCACCCTTGACTACATTAAAGTGACATTATTATATTTCGGCAAATATACTAAAAATGTACTTCTAAGTGTCGGTCAATCCAGGAAGAACAGGCGATAAGTAGTGGTTGATGATAGGGTGTATTAATATGCAGCCCTGTTGCATAAGGCTTTGCCCTGATAACAGTCCCACAGCCGCCTTGAGGATGTCAGGAGCGAAGTACAAAAGTCTGAATGAACTGTTGTCAACGACACCGCAGACCTTTAATTTCAACCTCCATTCAAAACAGTAAAATCAGGGGTCAACAGGTGGTTTTCAAAAGCAAGTTGATGAGGCGACAAGCAACATTCAGTGAACTTATCTACGACAACTGTTGCTTGGAAAAGTGTGTGAAATCTGACGGTTGGTGAATAGGATCTGCATCAGATCAGTTGAAGTGCCGTGTTGTTTATCTTTGTCTGAGCAGATGACAGTGGGGGTAACAGACATCTGCTCAAACCTCTCTAGACCTCCACCCAGCTAACAAATTAAACAGCATTTATTCCCAGCCGTTAGACAACTCTTCTAAAGTAACTTCAGCACCGAACAAGCCACCGTGGCTCAAACTGATAGAAAGAGATCACTGCCAAGCCAACTAGAGATCAGCTAGCTGAGGCTACTTACCGCTGAGCTTCTGTTCTTCCTCTCAAACACCACCAGACATCCAGCCGAATAGCAGAAAGCGGGTTATTGTCAGTGGAGACGGGAGTAAAGGAGCGCGCTGTTGCCTCTGTCACGGTGCTAAATTAAAAACACTCATCTAGAGACGTGAGCTGCCGCGCTATGCTAACTCAACTCATAAAGAGACGCGTGTGAGTGCGTGACAGAGTGACTCGGCAGCGGTTTTCCTTCACAACTATCGCCCCTCGAGTCGTGCTCGGCATTTATATATAGAACGTGTCATGTAACCGCTTTTGCGAATATAATAGCGCTACTTTCTCAAATAACATCTGTACTGACCCTGCTGTTGCTCGGCTGGTACGAGGAGATGGCGGCACTTCCGCTTCCGTTTCCCCGAAGCCGGACGGACCGCGCCCCCCGATTTGAATATTCATGAGCCACGGTAAATACTACCTAGATTTCTAGGTGCTTTTTGAATAGTAGGCGTACATTAAAAGCACCGAACTGTATAAATCTAGATTAATGCCCTCTGTGAAATGTAAAAAAAATCTGGCATATGAATATTATATATACGCAAACAAATTTAATGTTATCGTTACGTTTGTTAAGCACCCTTAAGAGTTCTGCCAAAATGATTTTGGCAGCAACGGCTGCTATGTGCTATTAACATTTGTGGCATTCGGGTGTCATGTTAACCTATGCAAACCTTTGAGTTATGAAGAGATGACAAGTATCGTCTGATATGTTCTTTCCTAACTTTACAGTGATGCTATAGCGCGCAGTGCCCACATAGTGGCGATGAAATCAGCTGAATTTCTTTGAAGGACATCTACAACAGGGATGGGCAACCTGCGGCCCGCTACGTCTTTTAGTACGGTCCGCTGGATCATATTAGACTCGGATGATCAATTTTAAAACATTTGAAAAGTAAGTCACGGAAAGTTTGCTCTCAGTTTATGATGTTAATACTAACTCCAACCAGGAGAGGTCGCTAGCTTCCGGCCGCTCACTGTATTAGGATGTGCACTGTGCAATGTGAACATTCACTAATATAAACAAAAATGAATGAAAAATTTAAAAAAATGTCAGTCAAGATGGACTAAGGCTATGATATATTTATGTTATTTAATTAATATAATAATTTATTGATAATAATTGTTTAAATTAATATAATAATTGATACTTTTGACTCATTCCTTTTCTTAAAAATTGTTTAAAGGCTGCAATGTGTCATAAAAAGGTCTTTTAAAATCTTAAATTTTATTTTTAAAATCCTGCAGATGCCCTGCTATATTATGTTACCATTTGGAATAACTATTTTTTAAAAGGAAGCACTTTTTTAACTGTCCTCTTTAGGTTGTGTTGAGAATGTTATGTAGACCACTAATCAAAAATAGGACCTCTGTACATTTGTTTATTGCAAATTTACAGACAATGCATGTGCTTGTTTACATTTGCTTGTTGGGGTAATATTGTTCCCATTTGAATTAGCATAACTGCACACGTTTTATATTTAATAAATTCTTTAAAAACAAATTGCATTAATTATACTGTGGTTTCCTTCAATAAAAAGGAAACTGAGTAAAGATGGTGTAAAAGGTGTGTGGAGGTGGATTAGTAATCTGGCACCTTGCTATAAAGGAGAAAAAGTGCTGGCCCTCGTCTCTATGAAAGTTGCCCAGTTTTTTTTTTTTTTTTTAATTAACAGAAACCACGTCAGTTCTTTTCAAATATTCAAATTATTTTTTGCGGTAATGTTTAAATAATTCTATGTTCTTTAATAACAAAAACGTGTTGTTATTTATTTATATTATTATTATTACTTACAATTTAATTAAGTAAGATTATTTAGTTTAAATCATCCTGCAGATCCCTTAGAAGTTTGCTGAGGCACTTTTGAATTTTTGTGAATATACTATAAAATATTCATACAAATACTCTCAAGTCTCCTGATTGGCTGCATTATTGCTCTTTATTGCACAGAACATTGCTTAGAAATGTAACGATGGCACTAAAGGGAAATGTATTACCATAGTGCATACCTAAGCAATAATCATTCTTACTTTCACATTTTTCATGTGTCTGCTGAACTCAAGTCTCACGTTCACTTCCAAAGAATATTTTAGGGCCCTTTTTATTTAAAAATGACAATGTGTGGTGTGTGTATTGCATTTAAATTATTTAACAGTTTGTAAACATTATTTTACAGTCTGTATCCTTCATGAAAATAACATGTAACAGATTACTTTGAGCTGGGTGGTCTTCTCACAGCATGCTGCCATGTTTCTTTTAGATAAAAATGGCGAGTTCATGACAGAGATTTTATACCAAGTCACTCAAGCTGAATGTTTACAGAAACCATTTATGGGTTATAAGAAAACAGACACTAAGCCTTAAAATAAATATACCACTTGAAAATAAAAATAAAAATACACATAAACACTCACAAATGCACACACCCACACACATTCATCCAGAAGAACTCAAGGCCACCACAACTATGACTGAAGAGCAGTGTCACACTTCTGTAAAAGATTTAATAGTGAATGCATTTGAAACACTTCTCAATTTGTTGTTAATGTAAATATCAAAATCCAGTAATTGCAGTGCAGACACATATGATTTATTGCTACCTATCTGCATATTTTGGGTATTGGGTAACTTGTTAAACTAATTCTATGATGTCTCAGACATACCATGTGACATTCTTGAACAGCAGGGGAGTGACAGAAGCGTATTGCAGATTATGAATGGAAATGAGACCAGAGGGACTGATGAAGCCTCATTGAAGTCAACTGACTGTATTAGAAACAGCTTCATGCATGTAGAGCAGCTGGTGAAACAGAAACGGCCACGGTTGTGATAACAGGGATTGTTTGCCTTACATAATATACAGTAGCCATGTTGTACTTGAGATATCAAGGGAAATCTTTCTGAGATGTAAATGTAGAAACAAGTTAATTGTGAAGTGCAGAGAGAGAGTTGAAGTTCAGGGTAAACTGAGAGTAGATATAGAATGAGAGAATGTGAACTGGCAGCGCTGAGCAGAGGTTTGACACGAAGAGGATGGTTGTATTAGGTTCTGCAACCTTTCAGCTGTTAGTTTTGTCACTCAGACAGATGGCAGAATGTGCAGGTTAACTTAAATATCATTGAAAAAAGCCAATAAACAAACAAACTAAATGAAAGAGGAGAACTAAACTGTTCTCTTTTCTGTATTCATACTTCTTATCTTATCCAATAGTGTTTTGAAAGAGTTGATATTTCTAACAGGATATTTTTACTGTTTGCATTACTTTTCTGTGTTTTCTGCATTCTGCATTTGATAGAGAACAAATACATGAGCTACCAGGCCAATTTTGTCTGAAATGTAAGTTACCCAAAATTAATTGCTTGTTTATGGAATTGTTGTATAGATCAATATCAGAGATTCTCTTATTAAGGGAGATGGCATCCTTCAAAACTGTATCACTGAATGAAGCATAATGGTTCATCTGAATCACACCTAAATTAATAACATAATGGTGCTTGTGTGATTGAATCCATGTCTTATAACAGTCACTCACAATGTGCATTCATTACACCTGTAAGTTACACACTACTGTTTAACAGTTTGGGGTCACAAATTTGTTTTAAATGTTTTTTTAAATGAAATTAATAATGGTTAATCTTGGTTAATAATGGCGTTAAATCAATCAAAAATGACAGTAAAAGTTTGCCATCACAGTAAAGAAATTGCATTTTAAAATATGAAAATAGAAAACATTTGTTTTAAATTGTAATATTTCAAATTATTTCTGTTTTTACTATATTTTTTATAAAATAAATGCAGCATTGATGAGCATAAGAGACTTCTTGATTCTAATATAGATATTAATACAGCTCATACATATTTAAAGTTAAGACATACTCAAGAGTATATATTATTTTGCACATAGATTTGTTAAAAACGTCTTTTATCCAAAATACTTTCAACTGTTTACATGAATAAAAATATGTGTGACTGGCACTAATGTCACAGCGCTCTCTCAAAAACCAAGTAAATTGATTACACTAGGATGATTTGTATTATTTAAAAAAAAATCTGCCACAATGGACTGTGTAGTCTTTTAAGTACTTCCAAAAATGGACATTCTGCGATTTCACAGTGTTAATGTTTTGGTCAAGAGCATAGGGGTAATTAGATCTCAAAACTGTAAATGTCTTGTGATCTTCTTCAATCTCACTTGATCCAGCAGAGCTGCTGACTGGAGCTGCTGTTCTGCACAGTAGGATTTTGCTAAGTATGAAAGTGATAGTGCTAGTAGGAAGAAGGGAGATCAAAAGAGAGAGGGGAGGATTAGGAAAGAGACTGCAGAGATAAGCAAGAACTTAATAAAGTGTTGCAGATAGATTGACTGACAGGTAGAACACATTGCACGCTTTACTGACGTACAAGAGGAAAGAGAGCGAGTGAAACGTCTTGGAAGGGGCAGCATACCTCACTGTTGTAGTACATGGCTATTTGGGATGGAAACAAGCAGAGGAATCTTGGAGGGAAAAAGGGAGAGTGAGGGAGAGAGAGAGAGAGCAGAGGAAGGTGGTAGGCATGAGTGAGGGCCATCAGACTCACTGAGGATCAAGAGGGAGAGAGCACCGATATAAAAATACTCAGTAGCAACTGGCACTCACACTTGCACCGTGACATCCGATTAACTGCTTGTCGATCTCAGTTGTATGTTGATAACGAGCAACAGATAGTTTGACTCAAATCTCAGTCCTGTGCAGATGGGAAAGAGACAGTGAGAGAGAAACTGACTGTTTCCAAGACGTCCCGAAAGACCTGCAGCGTTGGACAATGACTGTGAGTCAAAAATTGCTCTTATGCAAAATTCTCCATTTCATAACAACACACATTAACAAGTATACCTACTTGTTACTAGAAATGAATAAATAATAAAATAATATATATAAGAATAACATATATATGTAGGATTCAACAGGATAAAATCTGAAATGCTATGCGATTGAAAGCCACCACATATAATTGTTAATATGAAATCGTTCATTGATGATTTCACTAATGGTGTGTGAATGGCAGTTTTACAGAAGTAAATCATGACTAAATAACATTTCAGGTTTTATCCTGCTAAATCCATTAAAGCTGTGTTATACACCTGTGGTTAATATCAAGCGTTCCAGCCGTGCTCCACAGCACATACTGCACATATCCATTGCAGGTCACTAACCCTTCAAAATCAGTTTGAGATACATAAGTGATGTATCTTAAGGGTTGTCACTGCAATTAAATAAGGATGGTTGAGTTTAACAGTAGATATGTACAATACTGGTCAAAAGTTACTGATTAAGATTTGAATGTTTTGCTCACCAAGGATGCATTTATTTGATAAAAAA